TTGGTAAAAGTGCCATGCCATGCCAGGACATAGTCATCTCACTAAGTGGCCCATCTGCTTGTCTACTGACAGATGCACCAGCACCCCTTGTGTGTAGTGAGTGGTCCTGGACATTAGCAATATGGGGTAACCAACAGCATACATGGTAGTCCCTGAGAGACATTTCCAAGGTGCCTTTTCTGAGTCCAAATCCCAGAATAACAGTTATGTGCTTGGAGAGGGGCTAGAATGACAGGCAGAGGGGACTGTGGGGCTCCCTGCCCTTTTGTCTATTCCTCTTATCCCTCAGGGCCTCTTGTAAATGAATCCTCCCTTCAGGCCAAGAGATGGCCTCCCTGTTTAAGGATTGGGTGAATCTTTGAGAAGGAAATAAAATCAAAGGTTGATTGATCTGGCTGTAAGTTTTCAGATTTTTTTTTTTGAATGTCATATTCTCTTAATGTGGGCTCCAGACCGTATGACAAGGGTAGAGAGATGTTGCATATGGAGAAATGCTGTGGCCATGGACCCCAGAGGCCCTGGCTTAATTAGTGCATTGAACTTGAGCAGGCCGAGGAATTTCCTTCTCATTCTTGATCCATTGCGAAACATTTTCCATACTTTGGAGCAGATAGAAGCCATTAGGACAGCAGGGAAGATATAAAGCAAGCCGAGAACTAACCTAATGGCTCTTTGAGTTTTTAAACACTGAAGTTTTGACCAGGAGCTTGGCATTGACTCCTCCCTCCATCATTTTCTTTGATGCAGTTTTCTTTTGGTATGTGTTACTATTTGTCAGTCAGAGCATACTCAAGCCAACTGAACTTTGACCCTGATGGTTTAGGCTCTTTGAAGAAAGTTCTGTGAGACCTAGATTGCCTAGTGAAAGAGGTTTCAGTAAGCCTTACAGAGTGCTGTCCTCTGAGTGGAATAGCCTTTGAGTTCACTGGAGCTGCTGTGACTGTGTCTGCTGATACTGCCTTATAGAAAGAGGGTGGGGAAAGTCCTTGGTCTCTGGTCTGGGGTTCTGACTGCTCCATCTTGCATATCTCAGACCACTGTATGGAATTCTGCCTTAATTGCACATGGCCTTGTGATCTAGGGAACAGATACATACAGCATGGAAGGTTAGCTGAAAGGGAGAGTCTACCTGTCATCATCCCTGCCAGGGTGACAGTTTTCAAAGGTGCAGCAGCTTTGGGGTCACACACACTCCTGTAAGTAACCCCTCACCTATGCTCTGAAAGCCCACTAAACTCATTGGCTCTCCAGGTTGGAGTTTTGGGGGTGGGGATGCTTATGTCTCCTCATGGATCACCTGTTGTATGAGTGTTAGGGGACCCTTGTGCTGTCAGATACCCTCCCAGCTCCTTTAGATAGCTTGGTGTGGTCTAGAGATGGGTGTGGGATGTGCAGGCTCTCGGTCTCATGGACCCCTCCTGACAACACTGGGAGCAGTTTCTCAGGAGGATGGTTGTGCAGGCTCTCGGTCTCATGGGCCCCTCCTGACAACACTGGGAGCATCTCTCATGAGCACTGAGTCTAAGCATTATTTATAATTAGTTGCCAACGTTTTCCTAATTCTGATTGGTTTTTACTCAGGCAATGGTGAGTTGTTGTTTTCCCAGGTCTAGAGGTGACTAGCAGATAGCATTGACTAGACAGGCTTTAGGTTGAGAGCTGATAGAACAGTCCTGGGAGAAGGTGGAAAGCTGAAGTTAACACACAGTGGAGGCCTAACTGGAGCACCCTCAACCCCAGAGAACAGCGAGCTGCTGTGTATGGGCTGGCAGCTCCATGATAAATGAATACCCCATGGGTAGCATAAGCTCTCGCATCCACAGTTGTAGGATGTGAAAGGTACCAGGCCTCTCATGTTCCTTCTTGTTAGTGAAGAAATGATCCTGCATGGAAACATCACATTAGAACTTTTATAAGTGGCTTTTCTGAGATGAAGCTGTTTCCATGCCACAGACATTTGGAAAGGAGTATGTTTATTGAAATATATTTTTATAGAAAACATTACAGAGCCTATAACTGAAAATTTATGGCAGAGTTTTGTGGCATAATATGTTCCAAATGTTGTGTGTGGATTTGCTCTGAACCCCCTTCTGCTTCAGAACCATTGGCTGGGTGGACGTTTTCCAAGAGTCTTTTTAGATCTAAACAATGTTCCATGGAATGAAGTGTTTGGTGCTTAAATAATGTATAAATCCAGTTGGACAGGAATTGCCTGTCAGTTTTATTAACTTTGACCTTTCTGCCCATTATAAAGGTGGTTCAGTTAATATTTAATGGTCCCTTATAGATCTTGACAGTTGGAGCCGTGTTCCTGGAAACAAGGATCTTATATATGATTAACAAATGTCACTTAATCATTATGAGTCAGCTTGCAAGGGCAGGTTCTGTTCTTGAAGAAGGAAAGTGTTCCACCTACATGTGCACATTGTGGAGCTGCACTGCATGCTGAGATCCTCCAGGATGGGGAGGCTTCACAGGACCCTGTAAAAGACAGACAGCAGTCAGCATGCAGCTCTGCTGGTTTGCGTTTTGTTTGTTCGATCAAATGATCCAGATGATGCCAGGTGGACAGAATCCTCTTGCCACTCTGCATAGTTAGCAGGGCTCTGCCTTGAAAAGAGTCAGCAGGGCTGGATCGGCTGAGCTTGCATGGACAAAGAAGATGGAGAGCCACAGGCAGAGAGGGTTCCTTGGGCCAGGATGGATCCTGCCAAGCTGTTTCTCCCTTCATTCCAGAAAGGCCCTTGCTTATTGCTCTCACTGCAGATTCTGGTGGGGAAGATCGAAGCCCAAGCAGCTGACATTTTGAAACATTGTCTTTCAAACTAGTGCTGTCCCTTGCTTCCATTGATTTCCCATTTATGGAATCTGTGGGAGAAAACCAAATCTGAGCAAAATTCATTGGTCTAAGATGAGTTGTTAAAGCCAAATTATGCCTTTCTCCACCCTGTGAAGAGCCCCTGTTTTATTATGAAGGCCATCTGTCTTTGTCCTGTATGGAGTGGCTATAGGCTCCCCAACAGATCCACCAGGTAAATCAAGTGCCTTTTAGAAAGTAGTATGACTGTTCCATGTACAGCCATTTCTTCCTCACTGGGTCACGGGGTAGCTAGCTTTTCTTTTATAGCCACTTGCAAGGAACAGATCATTTTAATCGTCTTTGTTTTGTCTCTGTGTGCAGCCCAGTGGCCTTAGGTGAGGCCATCTGTTTTTCAGAGCTTTATTGCCCTTTGCATCCAGGCCTAGCCCTTTATATATGGTGGTCACCATGTCATTACCAAAAGCTGTAATGCAGCTGACTCAGCAAAGAAAATCCATGCCTTGGAAAAGCAGTCGGGAAGAAATTGATTCAGAATGAGTTACTATTTGTATGTTTAGTTAATTCTAAATATATATTCTAAAGACTTTGCTTCATTTGCGAGGAGAGGGAGGAAGCATATCAGTTGTTAGAAATGGTCTTGGTCCAAACTTTTAGCTTAGCATCTGCACATCTGAGTGTTTTGTTTATGTCTGTTCAGGACTGGGATACCTGTCAAAGCTAATTTTATTGTAGAGAGATTGATGACAATTCTTAGGATCTAGACTACAAAAGCAGAAGAAGGTTACTGTCACATGTCACAGAACTGTGCTTCATTTGGCAGTGTGTGAGACTGGGGGGACTATGTTTTCAATCCAGATGTTGGGATGGTGAAGTTGGGGGTCTGTCTTGGGAACCAGGAAGCTTTCTGGAGTATTGGCAGATTTTTGTCTTGAGTGGAATGTTGGTCACACAGATCTATGCCTTTGTGTAAACCAGTGCTTCTCAACCTTCCTCACGCTGTGACCCTTTAAAACAACTCCTCATGTTGTGGTGACCCCTAACCATAAAATCATTTTTGTTACTACTTAATAACTATAATTTTGCTACTCTTATGAATCACAATGTACATATCTGTGTTTTCTGATGGTCTTATGTGACCCCCCGTGAAAGGGTTGTTTTACCCCCACAGGTGTTGTGACCCCCAGGTTGGGAACCAGTGGTCTAAACCCATCAAATGGTACATTTAAAATGCATGCATTCCATTTTACACACACTAAAAGTACAGTGGGTTTCTATATAGTGTTGTCTGCGTTAGAATTAGAACTAGGATGTGCTGTTTCTCCCCTCCGCAGAAGTCAAAATACTATAGGGAGTAAAATGATCTGTGTTAAGTAACCTTCAAGCTCAGCAGTTTGTCCAGGAACAAAGCAAAGGCTTCTGGCCCCAAGCCCACATCATATATGCAGCTTCCTCTCTGCTGCACAGTTTGATGGCATGTAAGTGGAAATGAAATTACTGTCTCTGCCATTCCCTCCAGAGCCTGAGTCTGTTTGTGCAGGTTGCTCTCAAATTGAGACCTGAGCTGGCTCTTATGCTGACACTTGTACTGTCACCAGTGGGAAAAGTGAGCCCAGAGAAAGGTGTGCGTGAGCCCCTGTGACCAGCCAAGCTGAGATCCTGGCTTACCATAGCCCAGGACCAGTCTTGTAGTTTTTTTAATAAGCAAGAGTTCCCAGAACTTACTCTGTACCTGAGGAAAACTGCAGATCTTATTAGCAACACGCCACAGGCTTTTAGACCCTTTGAATACCTGGGTGAGTCTCCACAGCCACCGTCCCCCAACCCCCATTCTGCTAGCATTCAGAACTGAGCAGTGCTCCGCGGCCCCTCTGTACGTGTCCCTCAGTTCACCGTGCAGTCAGCTGTTTGGAAATCTGTGCAGCGATGCTGGGATGCCCTTTGCTATCTTAACCATTTCCAACTGTGTCCAGTTTTCTTTGGTATGTTCTTGCCACGATGAAAACTTTGCTTCTGTTTCTCTTCATCTAATTATCACCTTAGGAATAAATTCTTGCAGCAGAATGTTAGCAGCAGTATTCGAAATAACATAAAATGTGTAAGGTGACAGAGTGTCCTGGGGTTGATAATGTAACACCTGCTGTCCAGAGCTCATGGAATGTTCTCTCTCTTGTCTCTGCAGCTGCAGTACCATGCAGGTCTAGCATCTGGCCTTTTGAATCAACAATCCTTGAAGCGCTCTGCAAATCAGATGGGTGTGTCTGCCAAGCGGAGACCGAAGGCCCAGCCCACCACTCTGGTTCTGCCACCTCAGTGAGTGAAGGGTTTGAGGAGGGCTTTCTACATGGGTGAACATTGCTTTGTTCTCTTTTGGAGTTGGTAGGAAGGTTTTGGTTTCCTTCGAAAAGTCTTCTTTTTTAAAAGAACTCTATTAAGACTAGAAAGTGTAACTTACCTAGGGTTTTCTGGATCAGCTGTGACATAGTTCCTGGTTTACGTGTCTGGCATATGACTTGACAGCTGGGAGTTTTAGTTAGCTCATATCTTTTATTGTTTCCTCAGACCAGTTCTGAAGCTGGCAGAACACCAGTAGAGCTGACCTGTGTGCATTTTGGTAAGCACAAGCCTAGAGGACATACTTAAGCTGGCATAAAGTTAGAGCTGGGTTGGCTGCTGCCGTCACCTAGCAACCCATGTGCTCTTGTTTATCTCTAGGAGGGATAATAGGCACAGCAAAGCACTGTGCCTTCCTTTCCTGTGTCCATCCCTATAGCCACCAGCTCCAGAACCCTAGGAGAGTCCTCAGGCTCCGAGTTGGCACCCAAGCTGCTTTAACCCTATGCTGAGTATTGTTCCCATTTCTTCAGATTGTTAACTTTAGCCTGGTATGGTGGCATGTACCTATGAGTTCCAGCATGTGGGAGGCTGAAGCAGGGGGATCTCTGTTTAAGACCATCTTAGGTTATATGGAAAGATTCTATCTCAAAACAAAACCAAAAAAAAGTCCAAGAACAAAAAGACAGTTTTGCCAGGCCTTGACTTCATATAAATAAAATCATATGCTGTCATTTTTGCTAGTTGTGTGTGACACATGCGTACGCGCACGCAGACACGACACAAATGTATGTACTGGGGATTGAACCCAAAGCCTTTTGTCTACAAAGAATGTGTTTTTCCACTGAGCTGTTTCCCTAGATCAGTATAAAATAGGAGGCATGAATGTCTCTCTCCACCTCCGTTTAATAGTTGTTGCATCAGTTGGTTCAGCTCCCTGGCTGGCAAGCTGTGTGCTGAGAGGTCTTGCTGGTGGCTTCTCTCCCAGCATGCACACTCCTCAGAAGGGTCATACTTCCAGAGACTGTGTATGGGCTTCAGCCATTGCCCAGCCGTCATTCTCTTCACTGCCCTCCCCTGTGCCCCTGTCCTCAGCGCAGAGCTGCATCTTTACATGGAAGACTTGAAGGACCATTTACATCTGAGACATGCATGCTCACCTGCACACACGCTCACCTGCCCGCACACTCACCTGCACGCACACTCACCTGCACTTGGGAGTTCATTTTGTCTGGTTAGCAAATACTTACTGGGCCTACCATGTGCCAGGCAAGGTTCCATGTCTTGAGCTGTAATTATGAGCAAGATGGCTGACAATACCATAGTTTCCAGTTATAATTAATGCTGGGAAAAGAATAAACAGGAGTAGAGTGTGGGAGGAGGGCCTGCTTAAACAGAGCAGTCAAACCGGGACTCACTAACGGTGGCTTAAGGCAGAGACTTGAGGGAAGAGGGCTGAGGAAGGTCCCTGCGGCACTCTACAGCAGCTGGCACCTGTCCACAGCTGTCTTCATGTTCTGTGGACCCTCTCACAACCTGCCCCAGGCAGCCAGGACGAGCACAAGCAACCAGCACTCTCTCCGGGTATTTTTGCATGCTGCATGCATATACATGGACTGTGTTCTTTGAAAAGAAGCTAAGAAGCAGAAAGCTTCTTACGGAGTGTTACTCTGTTGTTGCATCGTGTTGACTCGATGACTCTGCACACCTCAGCACGCAGCTCCCTGAGGTCTGATGGGCCTTGTAATCTGTCATTTTCCCTGCATGGATTGTCTACTGAGGCAAGATGTTTGGCAAGAAGTGAAAGACTTTCTAATGGTCCCATAAGACTGAAGCCAAAAAGTGTTTGTTGCTAACTCTCTCCTGACAAAAGTCAGTTCTTGGTCCATCTGTTCACCATTTGTTAATTTGCATTGGCTTGAAACCTGTTTACAGGTGACATGCTATTATGAGGACACTTAGAAGCTATTTTAAGCACCGAGGCAATCAACAGACACTGTTCTGATGCCAAAGGGAAGGAGAGAGAGGAGTGTTCACAACTGTCATCGTACATTTATAATAGATCACTCAAAATACTTGGTTTCAAAGTGAGAAGTTGTTACAGTAGCCCAAGAATTCAGTGGGAGAATGATTTCCTGTCCACTGGAGCCATTTCCTGCAGAGATTGACTGCTCCTCTTTCACATCTTTGAGCTCTGGGGCTCTCAGCCTCCCGGAATCCCTTCATAGAACTTCTGCCTCATAGGCAGGATCTATATCCAGACTTCCACACAGCTCTTCACTGTGTTTGATGTTGGCTAGGAATGGACACAGCATAGGTGGTGGCCTACTGGGATTAGGAACATACCTCAAAACCAACCCACAAGTAATATATGTATAATATAGATGTAAAGAAAAACAAAAGGTAGCAAATACATCACGCCATCCCAAGGAAACCCCTTTTAAGGTTTGGTGGATTTCTCTTTCAGTACACACACACATACACGCGCACGCACACATACACACACACACACACACACACACACACACACGAGAGAGAGAGAGAGGGGGTAGGGAGGGGGAGGAATCATTTTTATAAGCAAAACTTTCCAAAAAGGATCAAATTGGGATCTTCTCCTCTTTCCTATGCTAGTGTATTATGAAGGTAGCATGACATGGTCTCTGAAGTATCTATCAAACATGTGCGTGTTAATAGTGTAATAGTCGTGCCATCTTACACAAGAGTCCTAATCACAACACTTTAAAAAAACAAAAACAAAAACACATGATCACCATAGGTTCAGTTAGCTATTAAGAAAATTCCTGAGCCCCTATGAAGCATTCAGATTTACCAAGGTGGCTATTAGTTAACTGTCACTTACCATCAACCCACCAGTCTCAAGTGTAGATAAATTGCCCCCGATGATAATGTTAGCAATAAGAGGCAGTCTCTACTCTGTCATCCTAGGTCAGGGTTCTGAGAGTGGCTTGCCTGGACAGGTCTGCCTCAGTCTCTTAGTGTGTTCTACTGAGACATTAGCTAGGGCCATAGTCATCAAGGGCTCAGCTCAGGTCAGGTCCCCAAGGCCATGCAGTGACCCCAGCTGAACTCTCTGACTGGTGTCTCATTTGAACATTCCAAGAGTTCAGCAGCAAGCCAGCCACTGTTGGCTGGTGACAGGAGGTAGTGTTTCCCACATCACAGGCTTCTTGAGTGTCCTCAGGTATGGCACTGGCTTCTCCAAATGCAGCCGACTAAGGATGAGCCAAGAGGAGGTTGTCCTTTTCTGACTTAGCCTCAGAGTGTCTGTTGTCCACTATTCTGTTCATTAGGGATGAGTCACTGAGTGCTAATGGCATTCAACAGGAGGGCACACACTGTCCTTTATGAAAGAGAAAGTGGCAAGGAAAATGTGGACTGCAGGGGAAAGGTGGCTAAGAGCAAGCCCCCATAAGATCCGTTTACTTAGGCCTGCAAGTGTCCTGGTTTGTGCATCAAGCAGGAGCCTCAGAGAGGACTAAGGTGCACTTCTGCTTTCAGGAGACTAGAGACAGGGGAACAAATGAGTCACAGGGTGTCAAGAGTGTGTGCCAGGTCCTAAGCTAGATAAGACCCATGTTCTGGTCAGGGTGCTATTGCAGAGGGCTATCCTCCAACACCTTCATTGTCCTGCTACAAGAGACTCTCAAGACCAAGCTTTTTGGCTGTTAACATTCCCTCCTAGATGAAGAGGGTGGGGTCGCTGACCTCTCACCTACGGTCCTGCAGGCTCTCTTGTACACTTCCTGGCCACTTGCATGTACTTCTGCCGTAGCTGCACGTGCCGTCATGGTATGAGGGAGTGCTAGAGTGAACCGGGTATGGAAGTTGACTGAAGGACCCCTTGATGCTGTGTTAGGTAAGTCAGCATCTGGCCTGGGATGAGACTGTCCTGTGGTATGGCTGCTTTAGGGACAACTGTACTCTGATGCCTGGTAAACTCAGTGGCTCCCCAGGTTGGACTTCTGTGGAACCAGACTTTGATTTTTCTTGGAGCTTTTTAAAGAGAGGCTAGGTATTTGTAGACATGTCCATGAGCAATGTCAGGTGCTGAGGAAGATCCTCTTACAGACACCATGAATTTCACCAGGTTTCCCTCCTGCCAGCTTCACCAGACTTCTAGGTTTCTAAGGCTAGGTGGCCTTTAACCAGTGAAGAAAGCAGCCAGGGGCTTCCCAGGGTTGCTCCCTCTTGCACCCTCTGCACTGGCCTGCTGAGGTATGCAGCAACCGTGAACAGGCATGTGGGACAGTTGTAGAATGTGTTTTCAGGTACACTGGCTTGAATAGTAGAACACCTGCAGGCTTGGTTGTTCCTGCGTCCCATAGAATGAGTAAGTGCTGGCATCAAAGACTCCCCGCAACTCCTCACTCCCTCCTACCCACATCTGAAGAAACTTATAAAGAGGTAAAAACTGAGTGTGTTCACAGTGTGCTGCTGAGCATCCTCCTGCTGGCTGTCCTAAGTGCCCCTGCTCAGTGATGTTGCTGGCAGAAGGGGTGCTGTTCCATCAGAAGAGGCTGTCTCCCTGTGCTATGCATTGCTAACATTGCTGGACCCTCCATTGGATTGAGGTTGGCTTCTGTCTTATTTGGTTGGTCTGTGAGTCATGTTCGGAGAGACCTGTATTTAGTATCCATCAGGTGTAGCTTTGTTGTGCTCTCTCCCCATAGCAGATTTGGCTATGCTTCTCTATTAACATGGGATGCTAGTTTGGATTTGTGCAGTCAGGCTGAAAGGTCCACAGAACTGGCCTCAACAGCTAATGATGAGCTGGCTTTCAGTGGCCAGAGATGAAAGAGCCCTTTCTGCTCCAACCCAGCATGCCTCAGCCTCATTTAGGTTTGAGGGGAAACTAGTTTTTCTGAAAAGTTCTTTTTGAAAATACTACCACTATGCCATGCAGGCAGGGCTAGCAGCATCTTTTCACCACATTTTTTTTTTTGTTGTTGTTGTTGTTT